CAAAAAAGAAAACTGAAGCCACTGTGAACTCTAGTTTTAAGACTTACTATTTTGAGTCTTGGGGAATTAATTTGTCTGAGCCTCAGTTTGTTCATTCATAAAATGGAGCCAACAATACCTGTCTTCTAGTATTGTTATGAATGTTAAAATGGCCCAAGTAAACTCTCAACAAAAAGTAGTTATTAAGTTGGGCATGGTGGCATGTGCCTGCAGTCCCAGTTACTTGGGAGGTTGAGGTGGGAGCACTGATTGAGCCTAGGAGTTCGAATCCAGCTTAGGCAATATAGTGAGGCCTTCAACTCTTTAAAAAAACAAAAATATTAGCTATTAATGGCCGGGCTCAGTGGCTCAGGCCTGTAATCCCAGCACTTTGGGAGGCCGAGATGGGCGGATCATGAGGTCAGGAGATCGAGACCATCCTGGCTAACACGGTGAAACCCCGTCTCTACTGAAAATACAAAAAAAATTAGCCAGCTCTGGTGGCAGGCTCCTACAGTCCCAGCTACTCGGGAGGCTGAGGAAGGAGAATGGCATGAACCTGGGAGGTGGAGCTTGCAGTGAGCCAAGATCGTGTCACTGTACTCCATTCTGGGTGACAGAGAGAGACTCTGTCTCGAAAAAAAAAAAGTAGCTATTAATAACATTGAAACTAACAGCTAAAAATTTATAGGTAATAGGAGAGTCAAGATTCAAATTGACTCTTTTCATTTTAAAGCAGCGCTGCCCAGTAGAACTTTCTAAATGCCAGATGTCTTATATCTGAGCTGTCCAGTGTGGCAGCCACTAGCCATACGTGGTTACTGAGCATTTGAGGTGTGACTAGTGTAATTGAGGAGCTAAATTTCTAATTTTATTTAATTTTAATTAATTTAAAGATCCACATATGATTAGATGCTACTGTACCCAAAGCATAGTTGTAAAGCTTGAGGGTTTTTTTTTTTGTCCCCCCAATTAAGGCACACAGCTTCATTTAAAGTATGCAAAGTTCCTTTTCAGGCCTCCCCCATTAAAGGGTACATATAGATGGCAAATAGGTAGCTGTGGTATGTAGATCTGTGTGTTTAGGTGTTTAGGCTTTGGAGTAGGAATACCATTATACCATGTATTCACCAATTCTGGTATTAATTGCTTGAAAATAGATCTTTAAAAAAAAAAAACTCTATAAATCTCATTATATTTCTAGCTGTGGCAGACCTAAGATAAATTATTTCCTACTTTCTTTAATAATACAGATCATGTAAAATGATTGACAGAGCTCAAAACTCACAGGGGCATACTGACTCTTTTAAGTCAGTATAAATACAAAATACAGGGGCATACTGACTCTTTTAAGCTAAAGGAAACTGAGAAAACTTGAAAAGCAGAAAGATCACTCTCTGACCTTCTGCCTTTCTGCTCTAAAGCAGGCCACAATATACTTCTCTGACCTTCCCCTGAAGCAGGTGCTCCACTTATCCTTAGAAGAAAGAACCCAAAGACACAGAGATACCAAGAAGCAGCTGAACAAACAGGCCTTGCTAAATTCCCCTCAGTGTATTAGCATCATATAATACCCCCCAACCTTTGTCCAATCATACTTCTGTGACTGTCTGCTCTTCATCAAACCAAAGCATAAAAATACACAGATTTCCCTGTTCTTTTGGGTCTTCATTTCTGAAAGCTCCTGTGTCACACAGAACTTATATTAAACACATATGTATGCTTTTCTCTTGTTCATCTTTCTTTTGTTATGGGATCTCAGCCATGAACCTTGCAATGGGGAAAGAAATCTTTTCTCCCGTTGGTGATCCAGGCATTTCTCATATATGTTATATAAATACAAAGTACTTTTAAACTTCTAGCCTAAGTGCTTTACACTAATATGATAGATGAACTTTTGTGTAATGTATACATGAAAAGTGGGAATAATATTTGTGTAAAATCCTACATAAAAATGTATTGTGCAATCTTCTCAACCACTCTCAAGAACAGGATATGCGGGAGCTCATATGGGTTTAATGGTATTTTTAAATTACTTGGGAGGTATAATGGTTGCTTTTGGTTATGCTACGGCAATGGCTATTGAAGAGTATCCTGAGGCATGGGGTTCAGGGTTTGAGATACTGGGGAGTCTTTTAGTAGGGTTAGCGATGGAGGTAGGATTGATTTTATGAGTTTTAGATTTTGATGGGTTAGTGGTGGTGGTTAATTTTAACAATATAGGGAGTTGAGTGATTTTTGAGGGGGAAGGGCCGGGGTTAATTCGGGAGGATTCTATTGGTGTGGGTGCTTTGTATGACTATGGGTGTTGGTTGGTGGTACTTACTGGTTGAACATTGTTTGTTGGTGAGTATATTGTGACTGAGATTGCTCAGGGTAATAGGTTACGTTATTAGAAATAAGGTTAGGGTGAGAGGGATAAGGAAAGAGAGAAAATAAAATTTGATTATACCTTTTTGAGTGGTTGTGAGGATGTAGGTGATAATGTGGGTGTGTGAGATTGTTTTAGGTATAGATTTTTCTAGTCAGATTGAGTCTAGTAAAAGGGAAGCTGCGTTTTGACTTATAAGCAGGTTTTGGTAGGGAGCTGTGCGATGAATTGTAATGGGAAAATATCCTAGTATGTTAGAGAATTTAAATATGTATGATGGGATATCCATTTTAAGTTTATTGGTTATAAGAGTAAGATCCAAGGCTACTAGGAAGCCTAGAGCAGTTATGTACAGGGCCGAGAGTTTTAGGTGAGATGATATTGTTAGTTGGGGAGGTGAGGTGGGAGAGATGCTATTGGTAATGAGAAATCCTGCGAGTAGGCTGCTGATTGTGAGGCGTTTGATTGCGCTTAATAGGGTGGGGGTGTTTTCGTTAACGTTGATTAAGGTTGGGAAGCGAGGTTGTCCTGTTAGGGTGAGGAGAATAGTTCAAGTACTGTAGGCGCTTGTTAGGGAAGTGGCAATGAGAGTGATAGATAGGGCTCAGGCGTTGGTATATCATGTGTTTGCGGTTTCGATGATGAGGTCTTTGGAGTAGAAGCCTGTGAGAAAAGGCATGCCTGTGAGTGCCAGGTTATCGATGGTTAGGGAAGTTGAGGTAAGGGGTATCATTTTAAATAATCCTCCAATTTTTCGAATGTCTTGCTCATTGTTTAGATTGTGGATAATAGACCCAGAGCAAATAAACAGTATGGCTTTGAAGAAGGCATGGGTGCAGATGTGTAGGAATGCTAAGTATGGTAGGTTGATGCCGACAGTGACTATTATTAGGCCTAATTGACTTCAGGTGGAGAAGGCTACGATTTTTTTGATATCGTTTTGTGTTAGGGCACAAATTGCTGTGAATAGAGTAGTAATGGCCCCTAGGCATAGTGTAAAGCTTTGAATTAACGTGTTGTTTTCCATTAGCGGGTGGAAGCGGATAGCTATGACTATGGTGCTGGAGTGGAGTAAAGCTGAAACTGGGGTTGGGCCTTCTATAGTGGAGGGGAGTCAAGAATGGAGACCAAGTTGAGCTGATTTTCCTGTTGCTGCTAAGAGAAGGCCTATCAGTGGGAGAAAGTTTAAATTGGAGTCTAGGATGAATATTTGTTGAAAGTCCCATGAGTTATAATGTAGGAGAAACCATGTTAGGGTTAGGATAAAGCCAATATCGCCCATGCGGTTGTATAGGATTGCTTGGATGGCCACTGTGTTGGCGTCTGTTCGAGCGTGCCATCAACTAATTAGTAGGAAGGATATAATTCCTACACCCTCCCATCCAATAAAAAGTTGGAAGAGGTTGTTGTTAGTAATTAGAATTAATACAGTGGTAAGAAAAATAAGTAGACATTTAAATTGCTTAATGTTTGGGTCTGAGCTTATATATCATAATGAGAATTCTATAATAGATCAAGTGATGAATAGTGCAACTGGAATAAATATTATGGAAAAATAGTCTAGTTTGAAGCTTAGTGTTAGTTCTAATGTTTAGGATGTTATTCAGTATCAGTTTGAAATAATTATTTCTCGGTCTAGGAAAATATATAGAGTTGTGGGAAGGAGGCTAGTAATAAAAGCAGATATAATAATTGTTTTTACATAATTTGGGAACAAGTGTTTTTTGTTAGGGTTGATAAAGGTAATGATGATCGGGAGGATTAAAGAGGTTAGGGTTATTATGGTAATGGAGGTGTACATGGTTATTACTTTTATTTGGAGTTGTACCAATGTTTTTGGTTCCTAAGACCAATGGATAACTGTTATCCTTTAAAAGTATCCAAAAGATGTAAGTTGTAAGAGCAAGTCCAACTGCTGAGAATAACAGAGAACTTAGTCTTTAGAAACAGTTGTCTTACAGTCATGGAAGTTTGATCCCATAAACATAAAAGCTCCTCCTGCTACTAAATCTTACCAGAAAAAAAGTCGAAAGTCGAATCCCCTCAAGTTATAGAAAATCTAGTGAACTACAAACCCACAGGGAAACTGGTTACTGCATCACATAGTGTTTCTCAAATCTGAATATGCACTCTTAAAGAAAAAATGCTCAACAGGCCTAAGAATGTGTCTAAGTATCCCAGTTTGAGAAATACTGATTCATAAACTATGTCTTATTCTAAGAAAATGTCTGTCAATCATAGACAATTACTACTGCAAAGATCTGGCTTTTAACTGGTAAAATACATTTATTTCGATTGTCATCTGAATGAACTCAAAACACTTAAGAATTTTTTTTTTAAAGCCATAAACCCTGAGAATATATCTGAATGCAATCCTCAGACTCAAGTTTGAGAAGTGCTGCTATAGCAGAGATACCAGAAACAGTATTACTCTGACAGGAAAACTGGTTACCAATGAGCTGTATTTCTAAGTAACCAACAATACTTACATTAGCCCCAATGGAACTTCACTCTTTTAATACACACTACATGGTTTAGATGTATCAACATAAAAACATCACATAAAAGCTTCACAGGATTTCAGTGTTAGTTCCCTCATCTCAAATATTAGGGAAATGTCATAATCATGTATTTGCTTATATATGCTTACCTTGCTCTTTGACATAGAAAGTGAAGATTCATCTTTATTTTGAGAAATATCTTCCTTTCCTCTTTCAAAACCTTAAAAAAAAGGTCAGTATATCAGTATTACTATTTTTGAACATGTATAGTAAGTCATTCATTTTCAAGTATAGACTATATTTGATATAAATCAGTTCAGGAAGCCTGTACATACGGCTTTAAACTATTAAAGATCTCTAAAGGGTCATATCTAGTAAAATCCTTTAGAATTAAGGCTTAGAAACAATGAAGTATTTCCCTGAACCCACCAACATTGTGAAATATCTGTTTTCTTTGCTCCTGCAGAACTTTGCAAAAATTCAGCCCTCATAGAGCTTTTATTCCAGTGAGCTGGTTTCCAGCAATGAATTCTAACTAATGGAACCAACCCAACATACTTTTCATACCTCTGGTGAAAATGGAAAACAATTTCAGACGAGGTGATAAAAGATTAGGGAAAATAAATCTGGATTGACTTTTTAAAAATCTTATGATGTGTGTATGATGAGAATTAGATGAGGATACATACAAAGTACTTAGCACAGAGTTTCTGCACACAGCATACATTAATGTTCACTTTTATTATCATCACTTTCTATTGTTATTGTAAAAGGATGAATCTAAAATACAAGAGTGCATTGGGACAAACATGCACATACTCCTGTAATCACATAACACTTTAATATATAGCACTAAGCCGACACCAATGAACAAATTATTATTATAAAGGTACAACTAGGCGCTTCCAAGATGGCTGAATAGGAACAGCTCTAGTCTACAGCTCCCAGCGTGAGCGACACATAAGACGGGTGATTTCTGCATTTCCAACTGAGGTACCGGGTTCATCTCACTGGGGCTTGTCGCACAGTGGGTGCAGGACAGTGGGTGCAGCCCAGCGAGTGTGAGCCGAAGTTGGGTGAGGCATCACCTCACCCAGGAAGCACAAGGAGTAAGGGAATTCCCTTTCCTAGCCAAGGGAAGCTGTGACAGACAGCACCTGAAAAATCGGGTCACTCCCACCCTAATATTGCACTTTTCCAACTGTCTTAGCAAAAAGCACACCAGGAGATTATATCTCACGCCTGGCTCGGAGGGTCCTACGCCCAAAGAGCCTCACTCATTGCTAGCACAGCAGTCTGAGATCGAACTGCAAGGCGGCAGCGAGGCTGGGGGAGGGATGCCCGCCACTGCTGAGGCTTGAGTAGGTAAACAAAGCGGCCAGGAAGCTCAAACTGGGTGGAGCCCACTGCAGCTCAAGGAAGCCTGCCTGCCTGCCTCTGTAGACTCCACCTCTGGGGGCAGGGCATAACCCATAACCAAACAAAGCGCAGCAGAAACCTCTGCAGACTTAAATGTCCCTGTCTGATAGCTTTGAAGAGAGTAGTGGTTCTCCCAGGACGGAGTTTGAGATCTGAGAACGGACAGACTGCCTCCTCAAGTGGGTCCCTGACCCCTGAGCAGCCTAACTGGGAGGCACCCCCCAGTAGGGGCAGACTCACACCTCACACGGCCATGTACCCCTCTGAGACAAAGCTTCCAGAGGAATGATCAGGCAGCAACATGTGCTGTTCAGCAATATTCGCTGATGTGCAGCCTCCACTGCTGATACCCAGGCAAACAGCGTCCGCAGTGGACCTCCAGCAAACTCCAATAGACCTGCAGCTAAGGGTCCTGTTAGAAGGAAAAAGGACATCCACACCAAAATCCCATGTGTATGTCACCATCACCAAAGACCAAAGGTAGATAAAACCACAAAGATGGGGAAAAAACAGAGCTGAAAAGCTGAAAATTCTAAAAATCAGAGCACCTCTCCCCCTCCAAAGGTCCACAGCTCCTCTCCAGCAATGGAACAAAGCTGGACGGAGAGTGACTTTGACGAGTGGAGAGGTGAAGGCTTCAGAAGATCAAACTTCTCCCAGCTAAAGGAGGAAGTTTAGACCCATCACAAAGAAGGTAAAAACCTTGAAAAAAAGATGAGACAAATGGCTAACTAGAATAACCAGTGTAGAGAAGTCCTTAAATGACCTGATGGAGCTGAAAATCATGGCATGAGAATTACGTGACGCATGCACAAGCTTCAGTAGCCAATTCGGTTAACTGGAAGAAAGGGTATCAGTGACTGAAGATCAAATGAATGAAATGAAGTGAGAAGTTTAGAGAAAAAAGAGTAAAAAGAAACTAACAAAGTCTCCAAGAAATATGGGACTATGTGAAAAGACCAAATCTACGTCTGACTGGTGTACCTGAAAGTGACGGGGAGAATGGAACCAAGCTGGAAAACACTCTGCAGGATGTTATCCAGGAGAACTTCCCCAACCTAGCAAGACAGGCCAACATTCAAATTCAGGAAATACAGAGAATGCCACAAAGATACTCCTCGAGAAGAGCAACTCCAAGACACATAATTGTCAGATTCACCAAAGTTGAAATGAAGGAAAAAATGTTAAGGGCAGCCAGAGAAAAAGGTCGGGTTACCCACAAAGAGAAGCCCATCAGATTAACAGCGGATCTCTCAGCAGAAGCTCTACAAGCCAGAAGAGAGTCGGGGCCAATTTTCAACATTCTTAAATAAAATAATTTTCATCCCAGAATTTTGTATCCAGCCAAACTAAGCTTCATAGTGAAGGAGAAATAAAATCCTTTACAGACAAGCAAATGCTGAGAGATTCTGTCACCACCAGGCCTGTCCTACAAGAGTTCCTGAAGGAAGCACTAAACATGGAAAGGAACAACCGGTATCAGCCACTGCAAAAACATGGCAAATTGTGAAGACCATTGATGCTAGGAAGAAACTGCATCAACTAATGAGCAAAATAACCAGAATGACAGGATCAAATTCACACATAACAATATTAACTTTAAATGTAAAGGGGCTAAATGCTCCAATTAAAAGACACAGACTGGCAAATTGCATAAACAGTCAAGACCCATCAGTGGATCTAGAATTAGAATTACCATTTGACACAGCCATCCCATTACTGGGTATATACCCAAAGGATTATAAATCATGCTGCTATAAAGACACAAGCACACATATGTTTACTGTGGCACTATTCACAAGAGCAAAGACTTGGACCCAAACCAAATGTCTATCAATGATAGACTGGATTAAGAAAATGTGGCACATATATACCATGGAATACTATGCAGCCATAAAAAGGATGAGTTCATGTCCTTTGCAGGGACATCGATGCAGCTGGAAACCCTCATTCTCAGCAAACTATCTCAAGGACAAAAAACCAAACACTACATGTTCTCACTCATAGGTGGGAACTGAACAATGAGAACACTCGGACACAGGAAGGGGGACATCACACACCGGGGCCTGTCATGGAGTTGGGCGAGGGGGAAAGGATAGCATTACGAGATATACCTGTTGTAAATGACAAGTTAATGGGTGCAGCACACCAACATGGCACATGTATACATATGTAACAAACCTGCACGTTGTGCACATGTACCCTAGAACTTAAAGCATTAAAAAAAAAAAGGTACAATTGTATTGAGACTTGTGTGGTAGGCATAAAAGTAGCAGTACACATTTTAATTTTAATGAGGTTTTTCTATTTTTGAGGACAGGTACTAGTAACTCTTCCCTATAATTATTTGGTCAGAGTCCAATAAAAGCCTATGTTAAAAAAATACGTACATTCATAAAGCAGCATTTTAAAAAATGTCAAGTAGTACCAGTGCCTAAAGTATTTTAAAATCACTTCTAGAACATCAAGGATAATACTGTTGATTCTGTATTTGGTTTATTAATACAACAGCTAAAAAAATCTGTTCCATTTTCTTAATCCAGATATTTTACTGAAAATTTTATATGATATAAAAAAGGGATCTTTTTTCCCTCTCTGGTAAGAAAAAAGATCACTCAATGCCAATACTAAAAATAAAATGTAAAAAAAATGAAACTTTCATGAATGCAACATGGAATGTTAAATGAAATTAGTTAGTGATGTGGGGTAGTAAATTCTCTTCCAACTATCCTCCCCACTCCTACAATGAGACAGAAACCTACATCCCTATTAGAATGGCTAAAATTAGAATGGCTAAAATTAAAAGGATTGACACTATCCAGGTACAGGTGAAAACATGGAGCAGCTGAAACTGTTTACTACTGGTGAGAACACAAAGTGGCCTAACAACTTTGAAAAACTATTTGACAGTATCTATTAAAGTTAAATGTACACCCGTTCTAACACACAGGAATTCTAGTCCTAGATATACCCAACAGAAATGAGTGTGTACATCCATCAAAAGGGAGGCACAAGAAAGTTCACAGAAGCTTTATTCATAATAGCCAAAATCTGCAAACACTTCAAATGGCTATTAAGAGTAAAATTAATGAATACATTATAGTATGGTCACACAACAGAAAATTAGACAGCAACAAAAAAGAACAACAAACATTGAGTGAAAGAAGCCAACTCTACCCATTTAAAAAAAAGTACATACCAAATGATTCTATTTACAAACTTAATCTATGGCATTAAGAGTCTGGAACAGTAGTTTACCTTTTTGGAGGAAATACTGACTCCGAGGGGTGTGAGAGAGCCTTCTGCTATGGGAAGTAATTACACGTGTCTATATGCAACTAAAAATTCAAAAGCTGCACACTTAATTACATGTAAGTTATATCTCAATAAAAATAATTTTAAAACACACCCTTTCCCTATTCTTCCAGTTTATTGGGTTTCTCTTGCTTTGACATCCTATTCCACCTAGTCTATATGCCTTTAACTTTAACTTGTTCCATATCTGGCTAATTCTGATTCATTTATCAGCAATAATGATATTTATACTAATTAACACAACAATATTAATAAAAGCAATAATAAAGCAACCAATACCTATTTGTGAGAACCCAAGTGAGTGTAACACACTATGCTACAGGTTTCATTTTTTTCTAATCCTTAAAACAATGCCACACACAGAAAAAATTAACCATATTTTACAGTTGAAAAAACTAAAGCTCACAGAAATTAAGATGACCAACATCAACAAGCGAGTATCAGAGCTGATTTAAACTTAGGTCTACATTTAAAACTCATGCTGTT